CTGGGGTTTGGGGGTGGGATGGCAGGGGTAGGGGAACGGTTGGGCTGGGGGAGCTGAAAGGGCTTTGCCCACCCAAACCATGCTGGGATTCTATGAGGGAGGCAGAAACACTGGCCTCGGTCACATTGTTAAAAATAAAGAAATCCTGCCGTTCTGTGTATTTCTTTCAAGGGAGAAAGCAACCCGAAAAGAAGCTTTCATGAACCTTTATTTGAAACCAGAGTAGATCAGTATTTGCTTGGCAAAATTCTAGTGTGTTGTGTGGGTTGTTTGGTTTCTTTTTTCCCCTCTGTGATAGCGGTTGCTGTTCCAGTTGTGTGCTGCTCTTACTGCTTTGGAAAGCCTAATTTTTTTTTTCATCAGCCCACCAGAGTTGATGACTTTTTTTTTTTTTAAATGATCTACTGTAGTTTAAGATAAGTGACAGAAGACTCAAACCAGCTTTACTACAGGTAGAGGGAAACCCGGCTAAACACATCCTAGTTTTTAAATTAACTGGGGTTGGTGTTCCATTCGGCTTTCTCTTAAAAGGTCTGGGTTTATGCCAGATCATTTTTTGAAAGCACCATCATGTGCAGGCTGCAAGCTGGCTGCGTCCTTGACGTTCTTTCGGGGCACAGTTGCTGCGTCTGCAATTCTTATGTCCTGTGGTTGCTGATGCAAAGTAACACCAACAAACCAGACAGCAGTAACAAACCCCAAACAACAACAAACGACCCCAAACCAAAACAACTTCCGTGCTGAAAGTACCTCAGCAGCCTCAGGTTGTGTGGCCTTGGCCCAAACGATCGGGGCTACGAGTTGATTTAAGGATGTGTCATCAGGCTGGGCTGAGGGTGCTCAGCTTGGGAGGGGGATGGATGCTGTCTGCCAAGAGAAGGGATCTGGAGAGGGATCGTCCTCCCAGTAGGCAGCCGGGGGTGTCACCAGGGCGGAACAAGCAGGTGGTTCGGGTTGAATAAATGTGAGGATGCTTGAATACCACACCAGTATGGATTCTGTCAGCTGGTCAGCAGCAGTCTGACTTTCAACTGATTTATGTTTCTCTTCCTCCTTCCTTTTTTTCAAATATTTAGCCACAGGACTACCCCAAAGCTGTTATTTCTGGGCAGCATGGCGGGGGGGGTGTAGACACCTACTGTGAAGATTATGTTTTAATGGATGATGCAGGATGGTTTTCATATATTTTTAACTTTCTAAGAGCCTTGCAGAGCTAGATCGTCAGGAGGGATTCAGGTGGTGGAGTGATTTGGCACAACAGCTTTGGCAGATTGCGTCTGTGGTGTTGAGCGCGGCATAAGCCAGCCACAAATGGGAGAAAGAGTAAGATGTTAACTGGTGCAGGAAGAGCACGTCAGGCTGAGGTTATCGAGGACTTGGGGAAGAAGAGTCCATTTGTCTCGGAATCAGTGTGGTTTGAAATGGGACCGGCCCGACCAGTTCTACGGGGAAGGAAGCTGGGTTAAGTGGCTGTATTTTGGGCTGAGCAGTAGGGCTCCTGATGGCTCTAACACCTACTCCGCCTTCCTCTTTGTTTTGGGAATGCCCACCAAAAGCAACATTTTTGGGCTAGAGCCTTCAGCGCTGCAGAGCACTGACGCTTTGCCTGAGGCTTCTGGGTTACATTTGGGTTACATTTACATTTTCACATTTACGTTTTGCATTGCAATGGTTGTTCTGCTCTCTGTTCCCCAGGGTGGGTTTGGTGACCTTACGGGGGGAGCGACATCACCCACCAGTCCCGAGTCGGCCTGACTTCACCTTGGTTTTTCTGTTCGTGTTTCATGAACAGGTTCATTGTTTGAAGGGAGAAGGCAGCTTGAAGGAAGATCCAGTCACAGCTTTCCTGTTTCCAGTCCTCAGCCGCATGCTTTGTGCCCAGCGCCTCCTCCAGCCCCTCCTTCCAGCCAAATCCCCCTCGCCGCCAGCTCAGCAATGGTGAGCTGAAACAAAAGCTGTGGGAAATGAATCTGGGAAGGGGGAGTAGCCTCAGAGAGGAGCTGGGGGATACCTCCCTCGGGAATGCAGGTGGGCTGCTAATGGGCTGCTGGGAAATGCAGTCTGGCTTCCCTTCACTTTTCCTCAGGCGGAGCCTGCTTCCCCAGCCAGATTGGTTTCAAATTTGACAATACTCTACTGATTCCTTTTTTTTTTTTTTTGTAAGCAAATAGTTATATGCACATAATGTTACAGTTTCATTTGGCTACAAGTTAATAGTAGAGATTTGATTGCTATCGACTTCCCCATATGAAGCTGGAACATCAGCCAAGAGACGATCTTTAACACTTTCCTGTTTTTCTACAAGTAGGGGGGGATTAAACGATACATCCCACAACAACCACTTCTCTGGGAAGGTGTGAGTAACTCCTGGCTCTCCAAGTATGTTAGGCAAAGGAGACCTTGAAGGGGGGCTCAGGCTTGCTATCCTCGCCACCATCCCCTCCCTCCTTTTGCTTACAGGTAACTGTTAGGCCTCACTGACAGCCGCAGACCTTTCCCAGAGCTGAGGCTCCCAAGTGGCTTTTTTTGAGGTTTGCCTGTTGTGTGCCTCAGGTCCATCTCATGGAGATCGACAGAGTGCTTGTGGATCTTCACGGGACTAAATGACTCTGGGACTCCTGCAGAAGGGGGTACTGAGCTCCTCCACAGAGCCCGCGGTCCCTGTTACGGTCGTCTCGCTTGCATCAGCTGCTCCTTTTCTGGTTTTACGGCTCCTGTGGTGTTAGGGCTTTATTTGCAAACGCTCTTCTCCCACTCTGATGCACAGAAGATTTAACAGTCCAACTCTGAGTTGGCTGCTGCTTTTGTAAGCTCTTCTTCCGGATACAGTCTCTGCTTCGTAATCAGATTTTTAAGGATGCTTCCAAGTAGTCCTTTGCCCATTAAGGTTTTCAAATAATATTACATCATTAATAAACGGTAGCTAACCTTGTGGCCACCGAGAACTTCAATTTGTGGTCGGCCTCTCTGCTTAAAAATAAAAGGATGGTTGTTTGAAAAAGGAACAAAAGAACTGTAGCACTGTGGAGACTTCTTGGCTTGTAAGTAAAGGGGACCCTTCTGTTCTGGATTGTGGGGCCGTAGGGAACCACGGCCTACGGACCCCTTTATAAACCGATCAAGATGCATCTCAACTATTTAGGGGTCTCTTCATCCCACTGTTCCTAGGACATTGTTCCAGAGCCTCGCTCCTCAGTTTGGAAATACGCTGACTTCCAGCCCAAGTGCTGTGATATCCCCACTTGTGCCTCAGCAGCAGCATCCTCCACCTCAGGAAGGGCGTGTTCTTCCATGGGTTTACTTGTTTTACTTTTTCCTTTTCAGCCCTTATTTGGCAAGGTGAAACACGTACAGCTCCTTTAGCCTACTGAAATGACAGGTTTTTACTCCTTGAATCATAATCGTAGCCTTTTTCTTTGCCCATTTAAATTATTTTTATGCTACACGGGTGACCTAAATATATACAAAGTTAAAGTGAAATCCCGCCCACCGAGGTAGGCAGGCATTATCCTGCTTCATATAGGAATAAACCGAACCACAGAGGTTGCATGACGTGACCAAAATACCATTGAATGGCAGTGGCAGTGGAAAGAGCCCACTGCACTCGCTGTCACGGAGAAGTTGCCTTCCAAAGTATGTTCAAACGTGCTTTTGTGCCAACGTTAACTTTCCGTGGGGGGGTTTCTCTTCCCCCTGTGTTTCAGCAGGCCTCAAAAAGAAGAAAAGCAGAATGTTCCTACGACATCGACAACGTTGTGATCCCAATGTCAAAGGCTGCCGCCACTCGAGTGGAGAAGCCTCAGTACAAGGAGATTGTAGTACCAAGGTACCCGCAGACCAGGCCTTATCGATCCTCTCCCGTGGGCAGCAGGAGGAAGTGGCTTTGGCTGGGCAGAACGAGAGCTGTTCCTCTTAATGAAATGACATAAGGAAAATGTTCCTAATGGATGAAAAAGGAAAGCATTTCATTAAAAGAAAGTGATTAGCATTGTTTGGATTTAAATGTTAGTACCAAGTGTGTTTTCCTTTGAAGTGATCTCTAGCTTGTGTTGCCCCTTGCAGCTGGAGGATAGTAGAGCTCGAGGGACTGCAGCCGTTCAATCAAGCGGACTCTGAGGTAAGGAAACAGTTTTGTCTGTTTGTCTCCAGTGTCTGTAGCCATCCTGAGAACGTGCAAATGGCACGTTAGTACCTCTAGGGTCAGTCCTTACCAGTTACTAAATCCTGCCAGCCCAGTAAGCAAGGTCGCTGTATGAAACGCTGTTCGGTCCTGCCCGATGCAGCTGCATCTGAAGCCAGTGAAAGGCCAGCAGTGAGATGAAGCGCGCGTGCTGGTTCCCAGACAGTCTGAGTGGGCTTGGTGTTGCTTACCTGGATGTTTATAACAGTAGGCTTGGCCTGCGGGCAAGGTTTCGTGCCCTAAGTGTTCAGACAAAACTTCTCTTCTTAGTTGGAGGATACTTCAGATGAGATGTACTCGAGTCATCACTCCAAACACGAGGATCTTGAACGAGCCCGCTGGGATTCCTGGGCAGCGGCTACTTCCCACAAGCGAGGAAGCAGGTACTGCTCTCACTAGCAGCCACGGGAGGAGGTGGCTTTATTCATTTTAAATGGTACAGAGATCCTGACTGAAGAAGTTCCTTTTAAATTAAGAAATCCTCGCGTGCCTGTCACTTTGCTCATCTAGGATAAGTCCATTACATAAAAGATGCAAAACGTTGATTAAAGTAGGGCCTAATCAGCAGAATAGTAATGCGGCGCGTCACAGGCCTGTTAAAAACTCATCCTGAGCTCAGGCTCTTGTGTTGAGAGCTTTGTGTTGGCTGTAGCACTTCATACTTCTTCCAAGCATTTTTCCTCTGGCTTAATAAATTGCACAGATCTTACTGCTACGGAGGCTGTGCCTTGTCCAGGCAACAGGTAAAAAGGTAAAGGAGGTACAGCAAACGAACTGAAAACAATCTGTTCTGTGTCCAGAAGTACACGCGTTCCGTCTGCTGGCTAACAGCTGAAGTCTTCTCTGCCTTGCCTTCGTGGGGCAGCAGTAGGTCTCGCTCTGCTTTCGTTCTATTTCGAGAGTTTCATGGGTTTGAGCTCCCTGCCTCCCATCAGAGCGGAAATCGTCTGATGTTTTCACAAGTTGTTGAGCAGTAGCGTGGGGAGAGGCACTGCCAGGTTGTATCGTTAGCGATCCGTGCCTCTGGAAAACGGCCCAAATAGTGTAGTGGCAGCGGGGTGAATGATGGAGCGCTCCCAGGTAGCTTCAGCTGTCGCAGTTCGGTCTCCAGCAGTTGGTGTGTTTTTTCTGTCAAATCTTATTTCTTTTCACAAGGTTTTGCGCTTTCTTAACACTTAATTGGTCACTTTGTGCGCAGGATGAGGGAAATGGACAGTGCTTGCCCAAGAAGCCATGAGATGCTTTTTGAAGAGATGATAGGAGAGAAAGGGCTGATTGGTTAAAGCACTAATTGGGCAACATAATCTCATCTGGCTGCATGGAGGGGAGAAAGCGTACATGTTTCATTGTATGGTGATCATTTATTTGGGTTTCCTGTTGCACCTAACTGACTGTGCTCCAAATACTGCTCTGCTTTAGGTCCTCCAGCAAAGCAGAGGGCCGATGGGCTGGGCAACCTCCGCCAGCATCTCCAGTTACTGGATTTAATTGCCTTAACGACCTGTATGCGCGCCCTTCTACTGGCTTGCACAGCCCTGAGACTTGCAACGCTTTGCAATCCCTCTCTGTGCACAGCAGGACCAGAACGGCGCTGCCTTGCAGTGAAGATGCCACATCTTCCCCGGAAATGCTCGATGGTGCAGTACAGGTGAGGTTATAGAATGGTTTGGGTTGGCAAAGCCCTTTAAGCTCCCCCAGCCCAACCGCTCCCCTACCCCTGCCATCCCACCCCCAAACC